TTGATTTGTCGAAACTTATTTAAAGTCAAACAAAAAATGAATTTTTAATTCGTAATTTTCTTTTTTTTTTTTGTTTTTAATTCTCGTGTAAAAAATAAAATTGGGTAAGAATTAATAAAAAAAAAAAAATTTTCCATTTTGATTTTATTTAATAAATAAATTTTCTTTTTTTTTTTTCTCTTTTAATAAATTAGTAACATTCAATCAAAATGTAATAACAACAACGGAAGTAATGGAATAAATGGTAATAGCGTGAGACACAGTCCCGTCAATCATTACGATGGAAAATTTAATTCAACGATCCAGGTTAATTTTTTATATTTTTTATTTTCAAAGCCCCCCCTTCCTTTTTTGAGATTTTTATTAATTGTCCCCGCCCCCACTCCCGCCTTTTTTTTTAATATAAATAATGTTTTTTTATTTATTTTATACATAAAATTAAAATCAGGGAGGATTTCCGGATGCGGAAATGAATTGTGCAGAAGATTGCTCACTTCCTAAACCGGCATCATCTCCTCTTTTGACAAATTCCGAATACAGGTAATTTTGTTTTATTTCATAATTCCATAAGTTTAATAATAATAATAATAATAATAATAATAATAATAATGATAATAAATTATTTTTCTCCTTCAGACAAACTCCAATTCATATCAAAGAAGAAGATGTAGGTTCGAATTTATTAATGGCTAAAAATGGATTAGGTCATAGGATTAAACAAGAAATATTGGATAATTCTGTGGACCACACCGAAGTGAGAGACGAAGATGGAAGTGGTGATGCTGTACGAGAAGAAGACATGCTTCTGGATCATTTCGAAGAATCCGATCCGGACGAAAGAAATTCTATTCCGTTTGACGATTCGGAAAAATCACGAGAAGTTTAAAATGATATTTATAGAGTAATAAGGAAACTAATGTTTTTCAATTATTATTATTATTATTATTATTAAGTTTATTACAAAATGATAATGATAATGAAAAAAGGTCGTATTCGATAATATTGATATTAAATTCTGCTTTTTTTTCTTTTGTTTTCCGACATTTTGTTTTATTTTTTAAATTTATTTTTTCGTTAAAATATCAACGCAATGCATCAAATATGCAGCATTTTTTTTTTGCTAAAAAGTTAATGATTATTTATTATTATTATTATTATTATAACAAATAATAATAATGATAAATTACAACGGGAATTTTTTTTTTTCGTTGCATTTCATATTTAAAAAAAAAAAAAATAAATAAATAAATAAAACAACCCCGTGAAATAAATTAACAAATTTTAATTTGTCAATGTAATTTGTTATCATTATAAGTTATTAATTTCAAATTAAATTAATTGAAATTTTTTTTTTATTAATCGAACAAATAACAAAAAAAAAAAAAAATACCCCCCAAAAGTACGAAAAAATAAAAAAAAAATTTTTTTCTAAATGTGTGTGTAAAAATAATAAAATTTGTACAATTCGGTAAAAAAAAATTAAATTAAATTGCCATAAATAAATAAAATTTTTATTAATTATTTTATATATTTATTTCGGTTTAATTAAAAATTTTTTTTTTTTTTTTTGTTTTTTAAGTTAATATTAATTTTTGTGTATATATATATATAAATATATAATAAATGTGGCAAATGCTTTTTAAATTAAAATCCCAATCAATAATTTATTTTGTAATTTTTTTCGTTAATAAAAAATATTGTATGAGTTAATTTTATTATTATTGTTATCGGATAATTATTATTGTTTGTTAAACATTTTAGATTTAATTATTTGTATAGATTATGTAGTCTAAGTAGTTTTTTTCCTTTTTGATTATTTTTTT